TTTCGTGTTTTCGCTGCTGGGTGTCAGTCTTGCTTTGACTCAATCTTTCCCTGCTCTTCTCCACATCCCTCCCCTTTAAAATGGGAATATTTACTCCATGTCACCAAACGCTAAAAGAACGTAACTGGTTTATTAATTATACAGGGACTCGGAGTGAAGAGACGGCTTTGAATCCCAAAAGAGATTTTATATTTCTGAATGGTGTTGAAACTGTTGCAGTTATGGAGTGTTTTGAAGTTGGAACGAACGCATTTGTGCATTATGACCGTAAACCTGCTAGAATCAGGGATAGCGTGTGATGAACTTAAAAGGACGTGTTTGGGTATCAGGTTGGCAAGGGCTGACTGTGTAAGAGTTAATCTTGATTGTCGCCTTGATGGGATTTAGAGTCATCTAAGAGATAAACCTCCGGCCATGTTAGTGAGGTCATGAGAGAGGCTTTAAGTGAGGTGGTGGGAAAACTCATTCTGAGTTTAGATGACATCACCCCATGGGCTGGGGTTGTGGACTAAACAAAAAGAGAGAGATGAGCATGGCATCATCACTCTTTGCTTCCTGACTAAAGATGCAATATGGCCAGCTGCCTCGTGGTCCTACCGCCGCCTCTTGGTTGTGATGGACTACATCCTCAAAGTCTCAGCCAAACCGAACCTTCGCTCCCGAAGTTGTGTTGTTCAGGCATTTTGTCACAGTAACAAGAAAAGTCATGAAAGCAGATACTCACCAGCCCCTTCCTTTAACCTCCAAACAGAGGCATCTCTTTAAGGTCTTAGGCTATGGATGGTTGGACACACGGTCAAGTAGGAGCCAAGCCATCTGCCATCCCTAAGTCACGCTGTCCCTCTGTGGTGTGACTTGTTCCCCTGGGAATAATGTCCTGGCATAGAACCGCCCATGGTGGCCATATTCCATGGTCCTGTCCACAGCCAGGCTGACCAATCAGAATCTCCCCCCATGAATACAGATTTGAATTCAGTCAGGAGACTCAGGAGATGCAGGTGGAGTGTACTTGAGTGGTTCATGATGGAGGTTCCTGGCTTTCCTCTTCCTTGGTCTTGGCTGAACTCTTCCCTACGCCCCTAAGGACACTTCCTGTCTTCTACTAAAGTCAGTATCTGTGCTTGTAATCAAGAGGATCCCAGCTGCCAGACAGCTGAACCTTTGCTTGGGGAAGGATATCTTGCCTGGGCTCTGCTCCACGGGGAAGTTCGGGAACACTGTTCTGAGATGTGAAAATAAGCACAGATTCCCAAGAGATCACAGACCTCAGGGGGACAGAAAGGACACTGCATCACAAGACCTCAATATTGCACGCCGTCACGGGGAAGCATGTGACATGTGCCTCCCAGTCTCTTCAGGTCTCAGTCACCTGGAAGTTAACCAGCCCAGGCGGTCATCTTCCCACAAGCATCTGGGGTACCATCTCTGAAGTGGGGGTACCCACAAACCCCATGGAGTTTCCATAGAAGAAACAAGACGATATAAGACCAAGAGGGAGAGGGAACCCACAAATGGCAGGTTCTCTTCTATCATTTGTTTAAACAAAACAAAACAAAAAAGCCTTTCTGTTTGCTCACAGCCTACAGTGAAATCCCTGGCAGTCTGCTTCCTCGGGGCTGCCTTTTCAGGAAACATAGCCCTGCATGGGGACTGGCAAAAGCAACTTAGGGGAGACAGTATGGCTCACAATTCCGGTTACAGCCAGTCATTGCTAGGAAGTCACAGCAGCAGGAGCTTGGGAGAACTGGTCACGTGACACGCACAGTCAGGGGCACTCTGTAATGGATGTATGCCTGCTGGCCAGTGCTCAGCAGCTGGCCCTCTCCTTCTCATTCGCTCTAGGGTCCAGCCCACAAAATGGTACCTCCCCCATGCAGGGTGGGTTTTCCCACTTCAATTAACCCGATTAACAAAACCCTTCCCAGGCCAATCTAACTTAGACAACTCCTCACTGAGACTTCCCAGCTGATTCTAGATCGTGCCAAGGCGACAATTAAAACTAGCCATCGCAGGGGCCTCAGGGGTGACTTGGCCTGCAGCTCACTGCCCATCTCATGACCCTGAGCCTCGGGCTTTCTCCATCCCTTCTGGGCTCCCAGAGTCCTTGGAGGGCAGCACAGCTCTAGGCTCACCTCCGCCAGTGCTGTGTAGCAGAACTGCCGGGATTTTCCAGGCTTCCTGCCGAGATTCATAATTGAACAGAGCCAGAGCGATTCCCCAACCAATGGCTGTCTTCTCCCCCAGCACCGGGGAATGGTGTTCTCTGTGATTTCTCTGCTTGTATCTGCTCCGTAACTACAGCCTGGATGAAAGCTTGGTATTGAGGGCTGGGCTTTTTTTTTTTTCTCCTCTTTGCCTCCTTCTTTCTTTTTTAATGAGGAACAAATACGGTGTTCAAAGGGGGGCAAAACAGTTCGCTGCAGATTCCAGACTTTTCCATAGCATGGCTTCTGCAGATCTCTGGGAAGTTAATAACCTGAGAGTTTTAGTTAGCCTGTGTGGGGGAGGGAGAATCATAGTAGGGACATATAAACTTCCCAAAGGGACTGGCTGCTTCATCCTGATCACTTCAAACATTAGGAACCTGAGGCCTGGAGGGGTGAAAGGTCATTTCTGCGGCAACAGGCTAGCTGGTGGGACAGTCAAGCCTAGATCACTCATCTCCGGACTCCCAAGTTCAGCATTCTTTTGCTCGCCCACTGCTGCCTGCTCTGTATAAGGGCTCCCACCACGTGACTCTACCTCCCCAGTGTCCCTGACAGCTGGTGGGCAAGGACAGGGACACTGCTAAGCATTTCCTAAGACTCCCACTCCAACAAGCTCCAACTTAATCCTAAATGTCAAACGTGTCCTTGCTGATGATGAGTCAGTGGCCTGCAGCGAGTTAAGTGACCACGCCCACGGTAGACATTGCTAACCAGTCACAGTGCTATCCACTTAGTCTGAATCCATGTCAGCCCCGGCACTCCATCCAGGGACTACTAATGGAGATGCAAGCTGCTCTACCGTGGCACACAGGAAGTGCATCCAGCCCGTCACCTGCTATTATAACCAGGTGACCAGACGGCAGCCGTGCTAATAGAGAGCCCAGTCTGCCGGCCTCCTCCCCAGGACTGCCATGGCGCCCTCCCTGCCCTGGTATGGCCACGACAGCTTGCCTGGCTGAGGAGGCCCTGAACAATGACTGCTTTTCCTTCAGCCCCACTGTTAATGGACTAACAAGAGCAGCTTGCAGTTGAGCACTAAACCCTGAAAAGCCCTTAGCTAAGCGCCTTCCAATGTCTCACGTAAACCTTCAAAATGCCTTAAGAAGCAAGGGCTCCCACAGCTGGGGATATAGCTTAGTGGCAAGGTGCCTGCCTGGCATGGGCAAAGCCCTGGGTTCAATTCTTAATGACAAAAAAAAAGCAGGTGCACCTGTAAGCCTGCCACACACAACAGGGCTCAGAGAGGGCCAGTAATTTGTTAGCAGAGTCCCAAGGAGGCACAGAATTCTTCAGGAGAGAAAAGAGGTGGGGGGAGGGAAGGGGGTGTCTGTGAGGGCACACACCTGCCAAGTCACCGGCACCTTCTGGTAGCCAGGCAGGCAGGGGTGTGAGAGCTCAGATCTGCTCACGGAGTACACCTGGGGCTGGAGGAGCAATGCCAGCCGGCTAGAAACCCAATTCAAACCGGACGTTCAATGCCCCCCTCCCTCCCACACCTGTGATCCAGAGTGCCAAATAAACACAGTTATCAGCTGCAGCCCTGATGCTAACACTCCCTGTGGTGAAGAGCCACTAGCTCACAGGCTTGGCTGAGGCCTCAGAGCTCTGGGCTCATCGGTCACACCTGATGCCCATGTCCTCGGCCCCAGCCTCCTGGGAACCTGAAGTCCTGCCTGTGTCAGTCCATTGGCTGCTTTCCAGGAAGAGAGTCACTATTTCTGGCCCTTACATGATCCATTCTCTATGGCAGCAGAGACAAATGTCCCCTTATCTTGCTTAGGATGGGTCCCCAGCGCTGTAGCACAGGTGCCTCTTCAGCCATGGCCTCAGTCTTGAATTCAAGTCAATACCCTACATGCCCGCATCCTGATATACACCAGGCGTCTGGCCATGTGTGTGCGCCACAGCTGTCCCATCCCTGCCTGTACCTCAGCAGTGACTTGGTGACTTGGTCAGGGAGCCACTGGGAGAAGCTGACTTCTGAACGGAGCCTCATGAAGAATTAGCTAGCCAAAGGCTAGGCAGATGTTCCAGACACAGGGGACATGTGGCAGGGTCAGGGCCAGAGGCCGGTACGCCTGAGAGGGTAAGAGATGGCTACTGACAAAGAAAGGTATGGGGAGGCGAAAGCAGTGTGGCCTGGGGGACTCTGTGAATCTGGGAGCCCGGACAGGTACTAAACTAGCAATGCAGTGAGATCAGATTTGCTTCTTGTCCTCCAGAGCCAGGGCCAGAGAAGCAGAGGGGCCAATCAGAATCCAGACTCTGGGATAGTTTCTCAAGGATGCTCACCTGCTGATTTGGGGCAGAGAGGGGGATTCCCTCAGAGCAACGTGTCTTCCCAGCTCTGTCTGTCATGTAACCACGCCCCCTCCACCACTTCCAAACACACTTGGCTCAAGGCTATAGTAGCTTTCCTGGGCCACTTCTTCCAGATGGCACCCACACTCAAGACCTCCAATGGCCCTTCCATAGTTTGCTGTCAAGGCCAATACATCCCAGGCTCCCTGTTGACAGTTCCAGATCAATTGTCACTGTGGCCCTTCTCCATATTCTCCAGCAAAGACATCCCCACCCCCACCCCCTACCCCCAGCCTCAGCTCCCCCTGCTTCACGTTTTCTAGGTTTGGAGCTAAGGCTCCCGGGTTTTTGCTTGCCGGAAGTGAAAAAGGAAGCGAGAATGTAAAAGCCAGCTTCCTTCCCTCCACACAGGCACAGCAGGTCTATGAGCTACAGGATTTGGTGGGGCTGGAGGCAGAGAAGATTGGCTGGCCCGGAGCCAGGCTGCTGAGACACCCCTGGGAACAGAGCGGAACAATTGCCATTGTGAGTTAAGCAGGCCGTTTATGGGGAGGATAAAAGTTAATGAGAGCTGTACTTCAGCCCCCACCAGTAAGCAAGAGCAAGGCTGGCAAATAAACCACACACAGAGGTGGATTTGAAGCCGCTGCCTGCTCAGCAGAGAGCCATGCGATGGCAGCTTGCTGGAGGAAGGGATGTGAGCCACCCTCTCCTTATCAGGAAGGTGGTCGAGATCTGGACATCACCAACTTCATCTAAATTCTCCAGGTGGCTTCTTAATCTCTTACTGGGGACAGCGGAAACTAGTCAGGGAAGGAGGTGAGGGCTCTTAGCTAATCCACCTAGGTAAAGCTTTTTTGTTCAGTCTCTAGAAGGCATCCAGGTGGACAGTGCAAGCTTGGCGCCTTGGCTGTCCTAACGGCTTGCGCTAGTCCAAGGTTTTCCTCGAAGCCTTCAGAGCTCAGAAAGAGGCATAAAACCAAAGCCTGGAGTGGTGTGGGCATCAAGTATTGCTCTGATGACACTAGTGATGACAATACCAGCAGCTGACACCTCACGGGGACGTCAGTTCTGAGTGCACCGTCTTAATTCTTTTGACCCTTGCTGGGATCCTCATGTGACAAAAGGAGAGACTGAGTTCTCCAGAGGTTCTGTAAATGCAGTCGTGTTTAGAACCCACTCATCTTCAAGACCCCCGTGTGCCTAGACCACACTGTTCTACCCTCTCTGGGACCAAATGTACACACGTTAGAGGGCTGACAAGGCCCAGTAAGGAAGATGGAATGTTTCACATTATCTCCCCTCCCCCTGGGTCTCTTGGGAAATATACTTATTATTCATTGTGTGAGTGACATGAGGGGGTGTATATTCTGGAGAGTGCTTGTGGTAGGCAGAGAATAGGTCTGTAGAGTCAGCTCTCTCCTACCCTTTTTTTTGTTATTTGAGACACGGTTCCCTGGCTGTCCTGGAACTCACTTTGTAGACCAGGCTGGCCTTGAACTCCCCCCTACTATGACGAAGTTCCCAAGGATGGGATTCATGTAACCAGGGGCAAACCACCGTACCAGCCCTGTTGTTTTTTGTTTGTTTTTGTTTTTCTGAGTCAGGGTTTCATGTAATCCAGGCTGGCCTCAGACTTGCTATATCGTCAAAAACGAAGCACAAGCCTCTGCTCATCTGTCTCCATGTCTCAAGGGCTAGGATGTCGGATGCACACCTCTCCTAACTGCCGTCTTCTGGAGGCATACTTCCTCTACTTCCCAGAGGACTCCCTCTTCTTCCCTCGGCCTTGTTGATCCACCAGAAAGTCAGTTTTACATGCTGACGTGGTCTCCATCCTCCTCTGCCCTATTTGGATCTGTGTGACTTTTAGCTGGTGTCCTCACTCAGAATCACTGGCCAGGGTGATTTGATGACACAGGACTTCAATGCTATGCTTGGCTTCCCACCTCCTGCAGCAGCAGATCTGGGTTTGCCAGGCTCTCTCCTGCTCTCCAGTCCTGCTGTGGGCATCCCCTTTCCAACCACACTGCACCAGGTGCAACCCTTATCACACTAAACCGTCCCGAGCATGCTCCCTTGGTCCTGACCCCCGCCACATCTCCTTGCAAGCTTTCGAAGGCCATCAGGGCAGGTGCCACACCTTCCAAGAAGCCTCCAGGCTTCTGCTACTTCTCTGTTTTCCTTATAACCATCCCTCTGTAACTACAAGTTCTGCATCAACAGAGTCATTTAATTGCGGGTCAAAAATACTCAGGGAAGAGGTGCATCTGTACCGAACACATACGGACTTCCATCATCATTGCCTGAATAAAACAATGTATATATACTGTTCTAGGACTCAGACGCTGGAGATGACTCAGCACACAGAGAAGGCTTTGTGCAAGTGATGTGCGATTACGTAGCCACTTAGCATGAGGGACTTGAGCCTCCTGGACTTTGCTATCCATGGTTGGGGTGGGGGGGAATCCATCCCCTATACAATTCTCTACCATTGTAGCCTCTTGCATCACCTATCTTTAAACTGTGTTTCAATCCCTAAGCCGGAGACCTTGGTCTGACATAATTTGTCTTTGAGCGTCTGCTTGACTCATGTTGGTAAAAACAAAGGACCTGTGAGGCTGGGAATGCAGGGAGCACTGCTCTCTTCTGAGCCCCTGGTTCTGTGCTCATGTGCAGAAGGCAGAAAGAAACGCTCAGTCAACACTCTTCTCCCTTTTGCCCTGCAGAAAGCAAAATACCCCAGGACCCCGGAATGCCCAACCTGGACAGGGAGAGCCATAGATAGGATATCATTGTCTCCGACAAAAAGATGCTGTGGACTGAGTCACCTGTCATTGGCTGTTTGGAGTCCACTAATCAGTGCTGGAAGCCCAAGTTGATGTAACATGATAAATACAAATGTTCTGGAGATGAATCTATGGACTGTAACCCCCAAGTACCACAGTGTGGGATTCAAAGGGATCAGATGTCAGATGAGTACAATTTTAACTAATTCATGTGTGTGCATGTGTATGAGTGCACATGTGTCCACGTGCATGTGAAGGTCAGAGGTCAACCTCGGGTTTCGTTCCTTAAAAACCGTTCCCCTTGTTTTTGTAAAGCAGTGACTCTCATTGGGCCTTTGGGCTCATTGATATGGCTAAGTTAATGGGCCACTGAGCTCTGGGGACACAGATGCCTGTCTCTGCCTCCCAGCTCTGGAATTACAAGTGCAATCCACCATGCCTGTATTTTTTTTATGTGTTTGGGCCTTGAACTCAGGTCCTTATTCTTGTACACTAAGCATTCCATTGTTTGAGCTATGTCACCAGCCTTCATTTCTAACCGATCTTAATGTCAAAATGAAATAACCACCAGTAAGCAGGATGGATGGATAGCTCCAAGAACAAAACCCAGAAGACCCAGAGGCCTGTCTGAATCCTATTCTCAACACATCTTGTTCTCAAGCCCTAGAATCCAGTTGTTTCTGGGGTAACACAGGTCACTCCCAGAGGGTGGCAAGCTGCAGGGGGATCCTAAGACCCAACCCCTGCCAGGTTCCACCTGCCTTTTTCAGGCCTTCCTCTGCTTGGCTGGAGCTCAAAACCCAGACTCCTCAGGCATGGCGCAAAGCCACCTTGTGACCTCAAGGCTTTCATTATTCATGAGGTCATTTTTTTCTCTGGCTTGAAACCGGGGTCCAGCCACACGGACCACGCATCTTCGGTTCAGACAGAAGGCAGCGATGCAGACAGCAGCTGCAGAAGTGCAGTTTGCAGAGGTGTGTAAAGCAGGTTGGCGGCCTGAGTGCTGTGGCCGGGAGCCAGCACCGAGTCCACTGAGGTCTGAATATTTTACACCCAGCGACTCTGGGTTATAGGCTTCAGAGCTTCAGACGCCAGATTAAACTTGATTTGAAACTGGCCCTGGAGGACATTTGTTAAAGAAAAATAAAGATGCTAGATGGAGCTTAATGTCCTCTGCAGGACGACTCTGTCTGCTGACAGTCTACAGCTGTGGACTTCTGGAAGGATCCAGGTGCCAGCTCCTGCCTTCCCCACCTTACTCTTGCCCTGGAAGCCTGTCCCCCTCTCCTCTTCCCACCACCAGCCTCCACAGAAGTACCACGGAGACACTGGTCTTTCCCTGCCCCTCTTCTCTTGAGGTGTCTGTGTGTGTGGTGTGTATGCATGTTCACACGGGTATAGGTACATGTGGGTACATGTGTGTGGGCACCAGAGGTTGATATCAACTCTTTCTCAATTGTTCTTTCATCTGATTCACTGAAGCAGGGTCTCTCAATCAAACCCAGAGCTCACCAATGGGGCTAGCTTGCCAGCTCCAGAGACTCATGGAGTCTCAGCCTTTAGAAGCTGAAATTAGAGACTTTAGCCAATGAGCCATCTCCCCAAACACCCCTCCCCTAAAGTTGCCAACTTTGTACCAAAGGGATCCCAGAAGTTCAGGAGATGGGCACTACTGTCCCATTTCACAGAGAGGCAACTGAGGCTCCAGAATGAGCAGGTACGGGGATCTGGTTTTCAAACTGCTTATACTTGGCTCCAAGTTCATGCTGCTTCTCACATGTCACCCAGGTCGTGGTCATTGATGGTCAGAATAGGGCCACCTGGAGACCAATTCACAGTCTGGCTAAGGCTGTTGACGAAAACCTCCTGCCCCACCCCACGCTTCACCTCCCTGTTTCAAGCAGCCGGGATAACCACAGGATCGCCTCAAGGGTTGAGGTTAGAGAGTTAGGGAAAGCTTGGGGGGTCCTGAACCATAGCCCTAATGTGCCTGCTGGGTTTCCGGACTAAGGAGGAGCAAGCACTTGGTCACCTGGAGCCCCATCACTTTTGTCCCTGAGGGGCAGGGGTGAGGGGTGCCCAGTGGACTCTGTCTGGCAGGGGTGAGGGGTGCACAGTGGGCTCTGAGACAGAGCAATGGGGCCTTAGGCAGATGAATGGCTACGGGCAGTGAGCTGCCTTTTACCTCTACATGTGTGATGCTGGCTTTGGGAAGGTACGGTGCTTAGGAGGTACAGCCCACAGCAGCAGCTGCAGCAGCAGGAACGATGCTGGCAGGGCTGAAGAGGAAGAGCCTGGAAGCCGGGTCTTGCCCGCCCAGCCTCTCAGAGGCCAGGCCTCCAGCTGGGCCCTAATTCGCATGGCTGCTGCCAGGACTCATTCATAAATGATGAAAAAGCTCTCAGCAAATGCCGAACTCTGCACTGAGCCCCAAGGCCCCTGCTGGGGACCTGAGAGTAAAGCAGCCTGGGTCCCAGGCACTCTGGGAGTACCCTACCCGGTGTGAACTCTGAGGGCCATTACAGCCAGTGTCTCCCTGGGCAAGTGAGCAGGGCTGGCTACTGACATTCGACTGTTGGGGACAGGGATGAGGCAGGACCTCAGAACATCAAGGGTTGAAGGTTTCTGTTTGCTGGCAGGGCTTGTGACAGCTGGCGTTGCGAAGGGCGGACGGAGGGACATGTCTTCTGATAGTCTGGGGAGAGGGAGACCAGACAAAGGTGAGGAGACACACGCATGACGACCCTTGTCGGAGGAGCAGACATAGCCTTCGGAATTAAAGCCAGGTCCATCCAGGAGGAGTCTCAACCCACTATGCTTAAGTCCTGGATACCTCATGTCCCCGTCCTCACCGGGAGATTCAAAGAGGGAGGACAGCAACACCCAGAGGCGGGCATTTCCACAGGGGACCTCCAAACCTCCTTTCCCAAAGGGTCCCACAGAGCAACCTCACTCTCATGGGAAGACCTTCTTGTTTATCTATAGTCTAGCCAAGGGTAGATGTAGACTTTGCGGGCCCTGATGTTTGTGTAACTGGGCAGGTTCTCTTATGAGAAAGAGAACACCCAATAAATGCTGAGCTGGATTAGGCCGTGGTGGAGTGCAGCTGCCTCAGCAGCGGTTTGAGCCAACCTGGCCGGGCTCCGCAGCCACATGACTGATGATACCGCATGCAGAAGCACTGTGAACATAACTGTACAGCTCAGGAAGCTCCTCACCAGATGGGTGGGCTCTGAATCAGGGTCTGGGGAACTTTAGGGCTCACAGGTTCCTACCTGATACTATGCCCGCCTCCCTCACTGCTCAATCCAACCCAAGCAGGACTGATTCAAGCTACGTAAACATAACTTTCTCTGTCTGAGAAATGGAGTCGTGGTGGGTAGTGGAGTACTTTTAATGCTATTGGGAAAAATTTTTAGGTTTATTTTTAATCTTAATTGTGTGCGTATGTGTGTGAATTTGGGTACAGATGTCCTCTGTGGTCTGAGGCATCATATTCCCCTGGAGCTGGAGTTATAGGTGGTTATGAGCCACCTAATAAGGGTGTTGGGTACTGAACTCGGAACCTCTGCAAGAGCAGTTCATTGGTCTGAAGCCCTAAGTCACCTCTTTAGCACCCTGGAAACGGTTCTTATTGCCACAGGCTAAGTACCTGGGAGCACCCAGGGTTAGACTAAAAAAATGACAGACAGATAGATGGATGGTGGATGGGAGCTTGCCAGCCAAAGACTGTTTGCCTCAAATTTTACAGCTTCACATACAGTCTCTTTGACTGGCCCAATGTGGGGTTCCAGGAGACAGGTACAGATGGCCCATTGTATCTGAAGATTCTTATGTGGATTAACCACTGAAAAAATACTAGTATATATACATACGTGTGTGTGTGTGTGCACACGCGCGTGCGTGTGTGTGTTGTGTGTGTGTGTGTACAGTTTCCTTATTACTCCCTAAACATTACAGCATGACAGTGACTTATATTGGCATTTATATTGTTTTGGGTACTATAAGTCATCTAGAGACAATTTGAAGTACTCATGAGGATATTCAAAGGTTATATGCAAATATCACCATTTTATACAAAGGGTTTGAATATCCTTGGGTGTCCAAAGGGGTCTGGAACCAGCCCTACGGGTAACAGGAGTCTATAAACAATGGAGAACAATTAGGTCCCCTTCTCTTACTTCCTTTCTAGATTCATTCGGCACATCCATTCATCCAGCAAACATTCACTTAGACAGACCACTGACTTAGACGCTCTGAAATCATGAGTGGAGGCCACTGTCCCTGCCCTCCAGGAACATTCAACAGATATCCTCCAGGAACATGGCAGATACGCTGTGCTCAAATCTAGACCCAGACTTGGAATTCTGAGAGCAGATTGAGGAAGTGTCACCATAGCTAGGGATGGCTAAGGCTTGGTGGATGCATGGAGCGGGTGGCCAGTGGCTTTCCTGAACAAGTTCACTCCAGCAGACCAGATGACAGTAAGGCTGAAAAAGTAGAGCAGACAGAGGAAGTTCAAACCGTGATTCCACTTTGAATCGGGAAAGCACACCCAGCCTTCAGATCCTTTGCTTCCTGTGTCCTGCACACTTGGACATCATGCCCTGAGATTTACAGTTTCTGGCATCCGCTAGAGAGGACTCTGATTTACAAGCGCAAATCTTAAGTGTGTAGTCTGCAGTTATCAGGTCGTATCCCGAGCTCATATCTGGGGGACGAGAGGGGGAAATATTTTCCTTTCTGGATGGGTTCCATCATGATGGGGGTACCCTCGTAGGTTGGTGTCCTCACCCATGTGGCCAGGGGATACTGACAGTCTAACAGAAGCTTCTTCTAAGGGTCTGAGCCAATACAGTGGACCAACACACAGGAGCAAAGGTGCCTGTCACCAGCAGATACCCCATGTCCCCTTGTGATTCAGCACCAGGAGGTGGCCAGGATAGAGGGTCACCTCTTCTGGGCTCTGGATTCTGAGAAGGGGAACGGCAGCCCATCATAGCAGAACAAGTGCTTCTAGACTGAAGATCTCAATTCTTTTCCTTTCTCCAGGCAGAGACACTCTCGTTCCCACCATTGGAAGAAACAGAAGGGTGTTGAAAATTATATGATTTTTTTTAAGTGAATC